TTTTTTGGTCGATCACAATGGTTGATTATTGAAAATAATAAACCAAAAATATTTAATTTAAGCAATTAACAATTGCTTCACCGTAAACTAGGCAAAATTTACTTTAAATAAAAGAAGAGTTTGTAATTGCTTAAACTAAGATTTTGAGCGACTAAACTAACCTAAGTTCTTTGTTTGAAAAAAACCATGAATAATTAATGCCTTTCTAAAAATAGATCATAGCCTAATTTATCTGCGAGTCCTCTATAAATGGCTTTATCAATGACGAACTCTACTTTCATCTGAAGTAAATTTTGTCTTGTTTACCTATCCGTACTTCAAAGTTTTTGGTTATATTTTATTTATCATCCACAACTTTGCCCACAAGTCAAAGCTTTAAAAAAAAATTGTCCTTTTTATTATCCTCCCCCTTTACAGCATTTTATATACCCGAGTATTCTTGAGTAAGTCTAACTAACATTTACAAATTTTGATCAATTACTAAATATACAGAATATTAAATCATTATCCTTAGCAAGAATAATTACATTGAAGAGGAAAAAGCATCCGCGAAACGTTCAAATAGAAATACAAAGAGCTATAAATATTATTGTGTATTTTTTTAAGTTTTGAGCAATGGGCTCCAGTAGTATGGGAAAATAAAATATGTTTTGCTACAACATTTAGCAAATATTGCAAATATCAACATTAAAAACACTCCTCTACTAATCTCCTCCAAATATTCTTCAGCACAAAAATTATTTATTAAATGTTGAAAACATTTAAACAGGAATCGCATGACCCACTATAAACCTGTACATTGTTCAGACAAGAACGTTTATAATTTCGCGTGGCTGGTCAAAAATATTATTTGAAAGTGATTTTTCTTTTTTTTTTCCACTGACGACCATATTCGACCAACAAAAGAATTTACTTTCTCTTCTAGTGAAGCCATGAGTCACAATGATTCTGAGAATGAGTACTTTTATGTGATAGTAACATTGAAAAAAAAAAATCATTTTTTATTTATTCATGCAGATCTTTTTTATATCTCTAAAACTGGCGGAGATATAAAATTATCTACTTTATAATCATAAACTAAGGTTGTGAACATCGAAGAGACCATAAACCAGGCAACAGATGAAATAAACAAGGATATTTAGGTACAATGAAAGTAATTTGACCGTAAAACGTTGACCAATAAATACACTCCTAGAAAAAGATCATTGAGAAAAGACCTGAAAATATCTATCAATCATAAATCGACACCAATAAATTTAAGAGTCTGAAGAAACTAATCGAAACTGATGATTACGAAATGCATTTTTAAATCAATTACTTTTATTAATTTAACAGAAGCATTTTTGCTAAATAAAACACATTTATAATCCCACGCAAAGAGTTCAGATAAATAAAATGGTCCAGAGATTATTCAAAAGTACTGTTTTTGTATCCTGTGAAGTAGAATAATTCCTAATCATTATTATAATAAAGCGTTGGTTAGCTCAAGATATAAATAAAATAGAAAAAAAATGTAAATCTGTCTCTAAAAAAAATTAAAATTCATAGCAATTTTTGTAGTATTAAGAACAAGAAAAGAAGTTACGATAAGGTCCGTAATAGTTAAGGAGATCCCTGCTCAAACTTATGTTAATCAGAGCTGTTTTTCGCTTAAAATAGATTTGTAAATATAAAATATTTTGAAATTTAACGCATATTAATTAATGTAAAAAAAGTTATAGTTTTCGACCAAAAATACAATTTTTAAAATTTTAATCATGATATTTTCTGTAACTGAGACACGAATTATTTTTAAGGAAAAGATGTTTATTGATTTTTTTTTTTTAAATTTCGTCTTTATATAGATATAACCGATGCTGCTAATTTTGTAATTTATAAAACATGTTTTGGTCAATTTCCGGCAACAACTTAATTTATAGCGTGTAAAATTTTAAATATCACATTATATTTTGATTGAAATTATGAAAAAATATATGTATGCCTCCATAACGAAAAAAAAAATCAAAGGCTCAATTTATATGTTCAAATCACTCTGCGTATTCATCAGGTCATATTGCCATCTCCGAATATCTTCTGCAGGAATTATTTTAAATTAAAATTGGGTCTTTTTATTTAAATATGTATAATCAACGGATCCACCAATAATGGGAAATAATCAATAATAATTATTAATATACGTAATTTGATCGGAACTTCCAACCAACTATCGCCTTAGTAATGAAAAACTGAAAAAAAGGCCGATTCCGTGAAATGATATAGTTGCCATTTCTATTTATTTTTAATTTAGAACAAAAATTTATACCCCATAGCTACATTTCGCATCAATCCATTTGTATATATTTTTTGTTTTTTAATACCAGAAAACGATAAGAATGATTAAAAATATTTTAATTAAATCATCGCATTTTATGTGTTCATTTTCATTCATTAATCTGGGATTCTGAAATTTTTTTTCAAATGTGAATCGTACAAAATAATGGTTCTAGCCAGCCATTATGTTTTTATTTAATAAATAGAAAAAAATACAAAAATAAAACGTTAAGCAACAACAAAATGAAGCTATTCTTTGACATAATTAGAAAACCGAAGATATAAGATTAAAGAAAAGGATAACTTTTTTCATCTATACCTGTAAGACAATATTGTTATTACTATCTTCAGTATATTATTAATTTTTTCGTTGTCTATTATGAGGGGTAACAAAACATTTGTGCCAATTCCAAGACGCTATTTTATTAATAATGGTCCCATTTCAATTTTTTTTCTCGTTTTTGATAGAAATCAATCACCTTCCAAATAATTATTTATGTATTTGTATTATTTTGGAGCTTTGCACAAATAAAGTTTTCTATTCTTCTTAAGTTGGCTTCATGTTTTTTATTTCATTGTTTATTTACTTTTCGTCATGAAGAGATAAAAGTGATCTTCAAAATTACTGCTCAGTCTTCGGTTTTAATGAAGTTTTCAGAGAAATACGATGATTGAAGACGTATTGAAAAATAATATATAACAATTATTAAAGTTTGTAATATATATAATTGGGTTATCCAGAAAATATTGTAGGTTTCGTGTTTTCTTTATATTAACCAATATAATTCCTGTTATTTTCATATTAATAAACTATTTTCCTTTCAAGGATAATTCTTTTGTATTAGTTATTTATCTTATGACCAATAATCTCAATCAATCCAAAGATGTAAAAACGTGATTTTCGCATAGTTTCATTTTACGAGTTTAGACTCGTTCGGAACGGGGTTCAAAAGACCAGAAACGTTAATTAACTGAAGAACGATGAACATTCTTCTTAGTTGAACATTGATATTGCTTGATAAAGATTTTTAAGCAATATAACTTTCTAATATTAAAACATTTCAGAAGAATTAATATTTTTTGTTTCATACTAAAATAATTAAAATTATAATATAATTATAAATTATAACATATATTATTGACTCGTTCGGAACGGAGTTCAAAAGACCAGAAACATTAATTCATTGAGCGACGATGACAGTGTACCATTCAACTCAAATTCATGGTTTAAAAAATTCTATAAGAATACTTCAGTCTTTATGACAAAGATAAGAGGGCTCATTTCTCGTAAAGATTTTTTGGTCGAAGAAAATCTCATAATAAATGTTTGAGAACTTGCATAAACATACACAGTTAGAATATCGACCATCGCTGTCCACCTCAACGCAATTGGAAAGGTACAAACGCTCGAAAATTGGGTAAATATATTAAACGACCGCCTAAAAAATCTTTCTCATTCTCTCAAGTTTGCCCTGGACTTCTTCGTCGTAACAAACACAAATCCACACTCATCTTTCTCTCCTCCTTCTCTTTCCGACCAAACCACAACATTTTTTTTTTTTTTTTTTTTTTTTTTTTTTTTTTTTTTTTTTAGATTTTCAATAGTTAAATAATGTATTTATCAAAATAGGTTAGGAATTTCATAACTTGTTGATGATGAGAAGTGCCTAGTGAGTATCGGCGCATATTTCGATTAATAAAAATATTTTCGTATGATTGGAGTTCTAGCAATCGCCAGATTCTACACTCCATTATACGGCCATGAGTGCCAGTAGCTATAGTGCGCTTACTCAGCATCTGCTAGTTTTAAGTACCAATGAAGTGTTTGAGGGAGAAGCACAGGTATCTTCTAAGCCTTGGTTTTCCCTCTACAAGTGGGGAGACAATATTAGTTCAGAGTTTTCCTTGCTGATTGTAAATAGCGTAAATGCTTGTGTTTAAGACGTTTATTTTTATTTTTACTTATTTAGGTGTATATATATATATTCTTTTATTTATTCATTTGTTATTATTTTATTTATTCTTGTGACTGTATATACGGTGTGAATCTAAACCCCTAACCACCCCTAACCACCCCTAACCACCCCTAACCGAGACTGATTGTAATATTTCTCAACAAAAAAGTTTAAATTTTTGTATGATTTATTTAAGAACTATAGAGCTACATTAATTTCAGGACAACCTAATATTTCATATTGACGCTATTTGTTTATTACATTGCGACAGTTTTATGGAGATAATTTTACAATGAATAAGTAGCGCAGGGTTCTCCTGGAGTTCCCTTGCCTGATTGTATATAGGTATGCATGTGTTTTTTTGCTTAGTTTTAATTATCTTATTTGTAGGTTATCTTGTTTTATTATCTATTGTATATACTTTTGATTATTATTTTGCTTCTATTTATTTTATATTTTGTGTACATATAGTGTGAATGTTATCCTACCTCACTATAACCAATGTCCAAAAGACAGATCGTTGTAATACTCAATAAATAAATAAAAAAAATTATAATGGCTGATTATAAAAAAAAAAATATTTACATTTTCCGAGCCACTGTCTCACGTTACTCATCGTTAGTAATGGTCATCTTGTTTTGATTGTAGACCGTTGAGATAGGTTTTGTTCATTTTTTTGAAAATCCGGTTATCAACCCCTCCCAGAGATACGAGTCCGATTGAGGCGATATCCCTCCGCAGGCCGGACTACGGAGGAGAGGGGAGGGAGTCGGTCTAAAAGTGAAGGGGGGGAGCCTTCGGGCGGCAGACCGTCGGCAAAGTCCCGCGGCAGTTGTTACAGTCGTTACCAAGGAGACCAAAACCGCTGCTGTCTGTTGCAGGAATATGAAGCTGGTCCTACTCCTCCACTTCCTAGCAGTAGCAGTCTTCCTTCCTCAGTCCCACGCCAGGTCGGTCGCCGTAGGGTAAGTTGTCAACAAACATTTATTTACCTACCTCCAAAAAGTTTTAAATTTGAAAAAAAAATTATTTATAATTATAATTATATTTCAAATTGGAAAATGAAAATATTTTATTTAATAAAATATAATATTTATTTATATATGCAATTTATTTTTTCTTGATAAAGATTTTTAAGCAATATAACTTTGTAATATTATGATATTTCAGGAGAAATAATATTCTTGTTTCATACTAAAATAAATTAAAATTATAATATAATAATAAATTATAATATATATTATATGTTAATTAAATCTGGTATTAAGATTATTACTGCTTATATCAATACAAATTACCTTAAATTCAGGTATAGGTAAATAAAATAAAAAAATATTTTTCTTAATATTTTTATTTTTTAATTTTATTTTTATGTTGAAAAATAATCCTTTCTGTCTATTGATACATACATTAAAACAACGTGTATTGTTGTCACGTGTTAATAGAATATATTAATGTCAAATTATTTCATTTACGTATACATATTTTTTAGCGAAGCAGTTGAAATTTATTAATTTTTTTTAATCCTAATCAGGATAAATAGCCTTTCAAAACTATCCAAGTCAAATATTTTTTGACGCAATAATAATGTTATGGCAGAAATAATTTCTTTGTAGTTAATAGGCCTGAATAGAAACATAACTATTTTAGATTCTATTTTTATATAATTTCGTTCTATAAATTTAAAATTCCAAATAGAGAAAAAATTGTGATAATTAGATTATTTGCGATTGATGCCAACTTAAAAATTTAAAGCCATTCATGTAATATTTAAAAAAAAAAAAATTTAACCCGCCATTATCACATATTTTGAGCGAGTGTTCGTATGCGCGAGCAGGACGTTTAAATATGCACAGATTTAGATCAGTCCGACAATTTACGTTTAAAAAAAATAGAACCTAATTATATATGAAATAAGCTAAAAGTATTTAATTATAATATAAGTAGTATAATTATGTATATAATTACATAAAAAAAAACTATGTACATTTAGAAGTTTTAAATAAAATAAATTTAGTTTTTTATGGAATGGATAATATGCTTTAATTAATCAAAAAGATTTTTAAAGTTGTATTTAGAATCATTCATACTGTACCGTTGATCGGACTAGGTCAACCTCTACTTAAGGGTATCTTATTGATGATAAAGGTGTCATGTGAATACGAATAAGATATCATTGATGGTAACCCATATTCAAGAAGAGAAACTGTTTATCGGATTCTACGGCGAAATTTGCATTTGCAACTATGTCAGAGTTCTCCAAACGAAAAAAAAATTCTGCAATTTATTAAAAACAAAATGAGATTAAAAATAAAATTCCTAATTTTTTTTTTAAACATATTTATGTCATGATTCACCTTCTATAGATCAATTTGTATTGACTAAATAAGAAAATATGATTTGATCATAATTTATAATGATTATTTTTATCAACAATTTATATACTCTTAATAATTTTTTTGCAAATTTATTTATCGTTTTGAAAAAAATCATACTTATCGTGAACATTTTCTAAAATCAATAATTTAATGATCCTTGAGGTTCGGATAGTTATTAATTTATATAGTCATGTTATTTACTCAAAAAGAAATAACAGCATAAATTCGATAATGAATTTAAATATTTTTTTATTTTAAGAATTGTTTAAAATTCTTAAGAAAAGAGATACTTCTTTTCCTTGAACCGTGAGTTCATAATTTATCAGTGCAGATCCGAAATGAAAAACCTTTAAATAGAAGGGCGCTTCTAGAAAAAAAAATTAAAAATCGAATATTGGAATTTAATTCAATAAAATATTAAATTTTGGGGAGTTACGATGTGTCCCTTTGTCATGAAGTTCAGTACTACAATAAAATATAACCGAATCTGTTTCTTTCTGAAACCATAAATCAATAGTACAAATTATGTGGCAACAGTGCATAAATTTTCATTCCAGAATTTTATAGAAATGCTAATTTTTTTATATACGATAATGTGTATAAAAAAAAAAAATATATATATATATATATATATATATATATATATATATATATATATATATAAGACTATTAGAACATGTTACGCATCGGAAAAAGATAAAACATTAGAAATAAACAAGATGATGCATCACGGCGACAAAGGAATGATAACGGACGAATACATTACAAATTACTTTCGTTAATACGGCACTAAGGCTACTGATTGTAAATAAAAATAAGAAAGATGGAGGGGTAACTTTAACGCGAAACTATCAGTGTTTCTCGGTTATAATGGAATAATGAAATTACGTGGGTAATACACTGGCGGAATATTCAAACTTTGACAAAGAAATGATAATCGGATTGTGGGACACTGATAAAACGAGTCGTGGGTAACATTCATATCGCATCAGAGGGTTTTCCTAATATGATCTAGCTATATAAAGTAAAAAAGCGCATTATTGGCTTCGCCCAAAGTATAACAAATTGGTGTTTAATAATTACTATCATTGGTTTGGAATCGATGTTTATCCAGAATTAAAAATAAATTTTAAAATATTTATTTAAAACCGTATCACCCAGTGTGTGATCATTATTTTTAATCGAATCAATAAACATCAAAGATCGGCTTAAATTTTTATTTATAAATCTTGCATGATTTTAAAATTAAAAATCAAATATGATAATTATTACATGATTTTGTGGGGAAAACAATTATCGATTTCAATTTAGAGATTAAAAAAAAAATTGCGTTCTAGCCAATGACACATACTACTAATGAGGGGATAAGGAGAGGTAACAGACGTCGGGTCACCGATTTCAATGAAACTTTTTTTGGTGATACTAGGTCGCAAAGTATTTGAGCCATCCGAGGGTTCTTGTCAATGCACCCTAGGAACCGAGAAAAAATATATTTTATATAATTTCGAAAAGAATATATGTTATTAGTTTATGTTTTTAATTTGTCTTGATTTTTAGGTTATTATAAACCAATCCATTACTTTTTTGTTCAGAATAAAAAAAATATTGATTATTGTATTAAACGAGTTGTTAAGTATCTTAAATAACAAACATTAAAAGAGGCTTCGAGGATAGTAGGGCATGTAAAGTTTTTCTATAAAAAATAAAGTTGAATTCGTTTTTAATATTCTTAAAAACATATAAATACGAATTTTTATAAATAATAAAAATTATAAATTTTGGTACTTTTCTAGGAGGCTTATATTTCCGGCCGTCAACTAAAGCATGAATAACTTCTCAAAATTTATTCCAAATTCATTGTTACTACAACCGTTTGGAAGCCAGTACGACCAATTAAACTAGTATCACAAAAAAAGGTATCAATGAAATCGGTGACCTTACCTCCCCTTGAAAGTTATAAAAATTATCAGACCAAAAAATGTTGATGTGAAGCTTTATACCCGAAATATCCATTTTTTAGGATAATCACCTACATATTATATATTTTTCTATAAAACTACAGAAAAAAAATATTACAATCAAAGAGAAATTTTTAGTTTACAAAATCTAAAAATTATAATAAAAAAATGAAAATATTAAATTTTTGATGTCTACGTTTTTTTTTTCTCGCTAATTTAAATATATTGTTTAAAAAATATATAATTGATGATTAAATTTAAAACGAATGATAATTAGGATTGTTAAGTTTGAAGGACCATATCAGTTTGGTTACCAGTAAATGCATTTAAGGGCTTGTAATTTTGATAATGCGGGTGTTGTAATTTTCGTATAGAAGAATAAATCCTTTTTAATTCCAACTCATTTTAATCACAGTCGAATTTATCATAACAGTGTTTGTAATGAATCATGAAACATTATTTATAGGCCGAGCTGCTAGTATCAAATTTTTAATATCGTTTTAATCAAATTATTAATATCGGTCTAGCGCTTTATAAACGGCTTCATATTACCGTAATCTATAACTCCTTTTTTCTACAAAATTTTCAGAAATTGATTAATTTCATGAGGAACTAAATACTCCTTTGCTATCCACTTGAATTATTAGATAATTTGATGACGAAATGAGAAAAAAGCCTCGTTATTTTGACATGCTGCTGGGGTTGGAGTCTCGTTTTTGTGAACATACCTGACGGTTCAAGTGGACAACAAATGGGAGTTAATGATTTTTTAATACCTTTTTAAATAGACAAAGTTTACTGATCTACAGATCGAAAACGCCCCATTTTCGAAGATAAATAAGTTGTATTGGGTCTATACCACGGGCTATAATCTCCTTTTTCACAGTTTGTAGATTTGTGTTTTTAAGTAGAATATAACCACGGTATAAAGAAAAATCGGGCCTCCAAATTTTAAATCCGGAGGAATTTTAATATAATTCCTCTCGGAAAGATCTCTTAGAAAACCCGTTAAGATGAAAACCTCTCGAGGGAGGTCAGTATCATTTGAACTCGAGTACCTTATCTTAATGGGATGTGTCATCAAAAAGATACCAGGGTATGAAGATACTAATAATCTTCTCTTCTGTATCTTTCTTAAGATGGTTTATGCTTTTTTAATAATGTTATTAAAATTACAGCATCTCATGTTTTTTTTAAATGGCTTATAATGTTTAGAACATTTCTAATAGTTTACTTATTTGCTAGGCGCGTTAGCACAAATGTCAAGGCCTCATGAATTAACTTTCGCGACATTTCATCTATCGCCCATTCAAACGCTTCAATTCTTTGTTAAAAGATTCATTAACATATTTAAAGTTTTAACATTTATTAAAATTTCCAAAATGTATACAAAATTATCAATGAATTCAACTAAAAAATGTTTATCAATGATCCTGTAAAGTTTTCAGATTTTTTTTTATTTTCCTTGAATTAACTTATTTTGAAATGGACAAAAAAAAAAGAGAGAAAAAATTATAGAAAAATATAAACTTATTACAACATTCATATGAAAGTTCATTTAACTATCGGGCGGTACAGAATTTTGAAGAAATATTCCCTTGTCTATGGGAGATATTGCAATAAATCAAT